CAAAATTACTGTTATTTATATATTACAGATCAAAAACATTAAATGATCCATCAATAATAAACAATAGTTATTAAATCTGAAGGTCACTAACACTAAAATTATATGATAAAACAGTATGAGGAAAGAATGCTTTATATTTTTTAGCAATTTTTATGACAAACAATTAACACAATTGTCATAAAACCCTATTTAATTTGATAAAAAGTGATGCCCTACCATCCACTTGATCTTGTGTAAAACCATGATTAAAGCCAGACTGGTTCCAATCAAACACCATTTGATCATCGTCCATTTCCTCTTCTCTTCCACTCACTGATGGTGCCTTTAGAAGAGAAATGAGCGAATTCTTTACATTTTACATATATTCACAATGACCTGCACATAATCAATAACCTATTGATATGCTCCAATATTTTAAAATGAGATATTTCCAATGGAGAAACTTGAAGCTTATCTGACATACTTAAAGCTATTAACATTAGCCCCTTGTATTCAAGCTAAATTATACATAATGACAACAAAAATAGAAAATTATAATAACCTGAGTGGTTGCTCCTGAATGAATGCCTGAGTCACCCATGTATGTGTTCTGCTGCCAAAGAATCGTTTGTTCTTTTGGATTGGCCATTGGTATATCTCCTGGATTACTGTAGTTGCCATGAGACACTGTAATTATAAACAGGAACTATGATGTTATATAAACTAAAAACACACACACCACCATCACCAAAATGTTATATGCAGCAGATCCTTCTATCCACTGTAGACGATCATTATGATGAAGCACAACAGAGTACAATTTGCACTTACAATGCTTCAATAAATTATATGAATGCCTTACATACAAGACATAAGAAGTGTTATGAAACATAAAATATATGTTAACACTGATAATTTAAATGTTTAATTAATAAACATTAACTGGTTGCAATAATGTTCTTGCAATACAAACTTACGAATATAGCTCAGGGGTCAGCAACCCCTCAAAAAATAAGAGCAATTTCTTTGTTTTTGTCTAAGACCAAACATTTATTGCTTTGCATTTCCAACAGTATGATGAGGCCTCAGCACATAAGCTTACATTTCACATTTAATTCTAACTGGTTGACAACTGTAACACTGGC